ATGGAACGCCATTTTCGAAGTGGAAAATATGACAACAGTAATGCAGTGATCAGTGTAAAGACGAATAATAGGTGTCTGTCTAAAACAAACAGCCAACGACGAGTTGTGAGCACGTTCCGAACTAAAAGGCCATTAGGGAATACTGTATTGGGTCATGGATGCATACTGTGCTGATCATGCTGCAAAGACGACTGGAAAAAGATAAACAAGACGGGTAGCCGGATAACACTGATGATATTTGCGTGTTGGCGGCCTGCCCTGCTAAAAGAGCACGCCGCCAGCGGAAGGCACACGATCGTAGCCAGTGGAAAAGCCGTCGGCTGCACAGGGGGAAGTCTTGAAGCCACAACAACCTGGAGCTGTGCAAATTAACAGACTTTTCGATTCCCATGCTGTTAGCCTCATTCGTTCTAAACCTCTAATGAAATTTAGATCGAGAATGGACTTTTGTTCTAAACTTTCGTTCTAAACTAACGGAATTTAGAACGGACATTCGTTCTAAATTGAACTCAACTTTTGGACTCTGCGCCCTCCTGGACCGAGAACGGACTCAGAGGGCGCAGTAATCCAAAATTTGAGTTCTGATCTCCATTCCCGAATACAAACCAGTAACTTTTTCTGTAAGACAATTGTAGCGCTCACCTCTTTGCAGAAACTCTCTCTCTTTATCAGAGATTGTTTTGTGCCATTCCCGGCTTTTTGCACCAGTCCATCGCTAAAATAATCATTTTTATCTCGCAGCTTATTCGAAAATTTGCCAGAAGTGAGAGCGTTTTTATATGCATTAGCTTCTACTGCTTTGTACCAAAGCCCCCTTCTCCGTCCTCCCATACACAGGAGCTTCCCTCCTTGTCATGTAACAAAAACAGGCGTGGTTCGCAAAACTACGCTAAACATAAATAGGCATGTCTACGACTTCGAAAATTTTCAACATCATCGAACAAACAAGCAAAAGTGTTGATGAATGACGGAAGAAATGAAAATGTACCTACCGACAGCGGCGTGACGGGTGTTACTGGTGGAGCGCACTGTCCATCTCCAACCTTATTACTCAGTGGTGTGCTAGGATTTGTCATTGCACTGCCAACTTGAACCTTAAGAAAACTTTCTGTTGCTGTCAAAACAAGTGAGGAAGAGAGCTGCTTTTACCGCGCCGCCCCTTCTCTCAACCACCTGAACAATTTTTAATGGTATTTCACAGATCATCGTCAGCTGTCTTTAATTCTCAAACTTTTTGAGCAGCTACTGCCGGGCTCAGCACGGCTACTAATTTGTGAGTTTAGGCAGAGAAGGTTGAAAAGGAAGATGGAAAAATCACAGTCGCATGCAAGTGTGCCAACGCTCCGGATTTATTGTTTCAGCGGCATCCTGGATTGAGAAAACAACCATGTGGCAGTCACAAAGTTGCTTCCTCAGTCCAAAAAACAATAAAATGCAACGCGTGTCAGACTAGCCGATACGATCATGCGTTTTGTGCAATTCGTTCACCGAACGATTGCCTGTTAATGATTTTCACTGCTTTGT